ACGAGTCGTCCTTCTTGGCTACCATGGCTACCCAACTTGTCGGGACACATACTCCCTCCAAGATTTGTCTGTGCTGGTACATCTTTGCTGATACGTCTCTCGGGGAGCCTGTTGTACCCGGTCGACGGGAGTGATGAGACGAATCGTTCCCTCCTTCCCGGAACGAGTGTTGCCGGGAAGGCCTCCTTCTTGGGTGCTTAAGTTGCCGAGACACGTACTCCCTTCAAAATCGTTTTGCGCTGGTACATCTGTGTTGATACGTCTTCCAGGGAGAGCTAACCAGCCTACCCAGTCGATAGGAGTCATGAGACGAATCGTCCCCTCCTTCCCAGGACGAGTGCTTCCGGGAGGGCCTCCTTCCTAGCTACTCAACTTGCCGGGACACGTACTCCCTTTGGGATCCATATGCTCTCTGTGTACGAGCGTGGTATATGGGCACCGAGCATACAGGCGTCTGGGGTGATAGCGTCGAGCACGCATGACCTCGCGAAGGTGCTCTGCAACCCCGACCAATTGGCACAGGTAATCAACCTGCAATTTCAAAAAAAAAAAAAAAGTTTCAGATTTTTTTTTTGTGATGTATCACGGTTGATGATTGTCCTTTGCTGAAATTTTGACTAGGTCCAAATTAAGCCTTTCTGGGAGAAAGAAACGTCCATATGTGTTGTCAAACCAGTGTTGCTGCTTGAGAGAAGAGGAGATGAACCATACGCTTGCAGGACTCCTACTCCCTCCGAACATCGTTGCTGCCAAGAGGCAGGGAAGAGGAGCCCCGATCTCAGCGAAGGAGTTGCGATCTCAGGCATGGGGACTGGAAGATCCCTTGGCGACCGCTGCCCTGATGGAGTGAGCATCAAGCGGCGTCTGGTTCGGGTCATGCTGCCCTTGCACGTACATCACTGGCCTCCTTCCCAGCAGAACCCTGGACGGCAGGTTAGAGGTCGTCGGGGTAGTCACCCTCGTCTGAGCGCAAGTTCGGCGGGGAAGGTTCCAGGATCGTGGCTCTGCCGATGAAACAAACCGCGAACAGAGGGACGAGCTCGCCATTAATGGAGACCAGAAGCTTCGACCTCGCTGTTGACTGCCGATAACCACGCTAGCTCGTCCTGGAACGACAGTCACGGCGGCGTAGTAACCAGAAGCGAGGAGGGCGACACTATAACGGACTAACATAGATGGCTGAGAAGCGACCTGCTGGATGACAAGGTGCTCTGCGAGACGCGTGGGAGGCGGAAGAGCTTGGTCCCCGGGATCTGGGTTGCTTCGTCCATCTCCTTCCTTCAGCGATTTGGTCCGAAGGGATATGATTTGGAAGACCCCCATTCCAGTTTGCTTTTCTACGAAATCTTCATCCTCAATCATTTTTGGCTGAACTCTGAAATTGTAATCAACTTTTTGATAATTTTTCCAGCTATCTCACTCAATTTTGCTGTTTTCTCTTGATTTTCTACCGAAAAAATGAGAGTCAGCTCTCAATGAAAGCACCAATGTTGGTAGAAAATACCTCGGGTAGAGAAACTAACAGCATTTCCGTATAGTAAAATAGCGTAGAGAATACATGAGGGGTGATGGCCTATTTATAGGCATCCATCACAAGTCCAAAGCCTAACCTACGTGGGCTTGGCCCAAATACATAATACATGTCCAAGCTATTGGGCGAACTGGCCCGATAAATAAGTAAATGAGCAATGGGCTATTTCCGCTCGTGAGACTGTGTCTTGGGCCTAGTTGGGCCAAAGCTTGGGGATAACGGGCTGATGGCACTGGGCCTGGTCCATTATCCCAACAATCTTCATTCAGACCTAGTTTAAGTTTAGTACCTCATGATACTAATATACAGACTAATATCTTTTTCTCGTATAAACATTTCATCGAACACCTTATATGTTTTGGTGAAAATAAAACTCATGTAAATACTGAACAATATAATAAATTGATCAAGCATATAAAGAACATGGAATGAGAAGAAGAGGTATTAACCTAGATTATATTATTAGAGCTGCAACACCATAATGTCCTACTTTGGTTGCAAACTTGCAATGATATACATAGTAAAAAAAGTAGAGGTATGCATTTGAAGGTCTCCTAGATTGGCTGCACGACGCGGTAACCTTTGAGAGGGAGTATATAAGAGGCGTGTTTTCCCCTTGCAGGATCTAACGGCTTGAAGGTGTGAATTTTTCTCAAGTCTGGCTTCTATCCATTTGTATTTGCACTTCTGCAGTAGCTCTTTCTCTTTGAAAAGAAAGTCATGTGGCTTAGATCAAGATACTGATGCATAAAAAGCCTAACACATGCTTTAAACTTATAGCGGAAAACATGCCCAAGGACGATGGGAAGACTTATAGCTATTTTCACATTGCATATGTGGTTGGGATTACAATTATAAGTTGTAACACATGGTTTAGGTTGTGTTTCTTGGGGTGGTTTAGATCAAGATAAACACATAGCAAAAGTTTGACATATGGGAAGAAGTGAAAATCGGAGAAGGGCTTATCTAGTGAAGGACAACACTAAATCAAGATATTTGATGAAGAAGAATAATCAGAACAACATGTATGAAACAGGGCAAATGAAGGGAACAGAGAAAGTAGTATACTTTTGAACACATTCATAATAGGTTAAATAGTGTTAAAATGCCCTTTTAAGGAGCATTATGCATTTATGCAGACATCTTAGGTTAGAATATATTTCATCTTCTCAAAGTTTTTTGTTTTTCTTCTTATCAATCCGTAATGCAATTGGATAAATAAAACCCTCTTTTATATTCCCCCTAGTTCACTTTCTGGATTGGAGTTTTACATTTCAGGGAGACTATTTCAATGCCCAGCAAAGTTGGAGTATTTATTTGTTGCTTTAATTTGAATGGCTGTTTTCAATATAATATGGTTTTAAATATGGTTGTAGCTCTAATTGGTTCATTGACCTTTTAGCTAAATAAAGATGTCTGCTTACCATAGATATTCATTCTATACTCACTTCCCTTGAAAGCACTTGATTTATGCGATAAAAGGTAAATATAAGATGGCATTTCCCAACAACATTAGTTCTCCAAATAATTTAAGTATATCAGTCATAGCTTAGCAATTGGACAGTCATTTGAGAATTGCATTTAGATGAAAAGTCAATGCTAAGAACCGAAAATGAGATAAAACACCTATAATCATTTACATGCAAAAAATTAGATTTGATTTACCATGACAATGCTATGTCTATTACCAAAGAAAGATCACCTAAGCATTTCTTCAAACATGGTAAATGCAAACTGTAAGACACAAAATTCACATCACAAATAATGTTTTGATGTTACCAGAATAGAGGAAATAAAACTCAGAATGGTAAATGCAATAAGTAAAGAATAGGCTAAAGTGCAAATAAAGCAGGATCTTTCATCATCGAACTATAAAAGTAATCAGTTCAAAACCTTTTTCCGCGATTGGAGAGAACGGGCCCTTTGCTTCCAAGGGCTTTGATAGAAATTGGGGGAGATGAAGAGATGGGTGCGGCGATCTCGGAGAGATGAAGAATCGTAAAAGGATGAAGTTGTGTCTATGAAGGAGATGTGAGAAACGAAGGCTGTAAAATTGGAATGAGGCTTTTCTTGGAGGAAGCCATGTGGCTTTAGAAGAGGAAAGGAGAAAATATAGGGTTGAGCAACACGTAAGCATAATTAAGGGCACAATGGTCTTTTAATGAGCTATTTGTTTTCTTATATATAAATAGATTCTATTCATGTTATTCATAGAGTTTGTGCATTTGCATTAGGGTGGCTGTTGGCATAAAAAATATCCCTTCAGGCAGAAACTCAAATGGGGCTGCATTAATTGCCGATTAACAGTTTTATGAAACGGAATTTAGATGGAAGTTGTCAATATTTCTATTATTAATGATCCTAAAAAGAAGACAAGTCAAGAGTTCACTATCTCTTCATACTAAAAAGCTATTTTTAGTATTTAGAGCAATGAATTGGACTGAATAGTATTAGTCTGACATTTACATTAGGGTGGGTATTGGCAAAAAATACAAATAATTGGGTTGTCTTTAGCAGCCGTAAGCATACAATTAGGAATAGTCAAGAAAATTAGTTTTTGAGGTGTTGAGTAGAGCAAAAACAGCAACCCAATAAGATAGTTTAAGTTTTTACTTTTAACAATTTAGTATACAAGTAATGTTTGTCATGTGTTATATGATAGTTTATTACATTATAGCTATGTATTATTATGATTAAAAATTTATCATAACAGTTTATAAAAATTACTATTAAATGTTTAGACATTAGTATTGACTATCTATTTGTTCTAATTTCTAAAAAATTAAAATATTACTCTACCACAGGCGTATTAATATTCAAGGTCTTAGCCTCTTAAATTTATCAAACAGTTTGAATTGTTTTAAAAGTAACAATTTAACAATCTGCCCTAAACCCTAAATGAAGTATATCGAGTGTACAATTTAACAATCTGCCCTCCAGCCGGGCTGAATAGCAGTAAGTGGGCAATTCAGTAGCCCTAAGGCAGTACAACAACTTCTTAAAACGAAGTTGTTTGTTTCTGGACATGATCGATCATAGTTTAATGATAGCAAAAGGGAAGCCACAGCTCCCATGAAATGGAACGAAGGTGATGGCGATCTGTTCCATCCTTCTCCGGCTCTAAAAATAGGACTTCAATCCAACTCTGATTTTATACTATTATATTAATCTAAACTGCCACAGTGCCTCCATATCACAACCATAATCCTTTATTCATGGTTTTAGTGACCCACACCACTGGGTAATTTTCCAAGCATTTATTTCATCTAAGAGACTAATACCTATAATCACATTATCTTAGACACATGCATTATAAGTCCACTGCCCTTGGATGTATCGCACATCATAGAACTTACAAAGAATACCAAATGTATACTTATATATAAACCTGATAAAATTGCAGATTAGATTGTATGTTCACTCATGAGTTATAGGAACGTGCCAATTTTGTTATTCTTTGGTGCTTTAGGCTGAACGGGTTGCAAGTAATTGTGTGCAGACATTGATTCTTCTCAGAGGTATGTAATTTTAGTCATTGGTTGCCTTCCATTTCATTACATGGTGAATTACCTCTATCTTTGTGTGATGCCCAAATAATTTAAGTTTTACTATGTGTCTTTTAAATATAGGATCTACCTACTGTCGTTATCTAATTTGAGGGTGTTTACAAAAACAAAAGTGATTATAAATGATTGTAATAGGATATTACTAAAGTTTTACTAATGGTGCTCTAACTATAAGACTTCAATACAACTCTGATTTTGTACTATTAATCTAAACTGCCACAGTGCCTCCATATCCCAACCATAATCCTTTATTCCTGGTTTTAGTAACAGACGCCATTGTGTAGTTTTGCAAGCATTTATTTCATCTAAGAGACTAATATCTTGAATATTAATACGCCCAACACTCCCTATGATCACATTAACATAGGCACGTGCATTATAAATCCACTGCCCTTGGATGTATCACACATCATAGAACTTACAAAGAATACCAAATGTATACTTATATATAAACCTGATAAAATTCCAGATTAGGTTGTTTTTTCACCCATGCGTTATAGGCGCATGACAATCAAAGATGAGACGGGAACTGTTAGTGGAATAATGTTTGGGTTGTGTGCTGAAAAGTTACTGCTTATGACAAGCAGGCAAGTCATGGAAGTAGAATCACAGGTAACATCATCCCCAATACTGCCCAATTAATTTATCGTTTAATGTTTTTCATATGAGGCTATGAGGGAGGATTTAATGTTAAGCATTCAAAAATGAAGCCCAAGTATATTTCTTTCTTGAATTTGTTTCCTCTTGCCATAAACATTGTTTACATTGTAAAATTAATTAATAATGTCACCCAAAGCTTTATTCGCCAACTCTAAGCCATAGATTTTTTAACAACATCGTCAAGTGAATCATAATGCTTCATTAGTCATCCTAATGCTTCATTAATCATCACACTATGTTAACATGTTAAATAGCTGGCTAAAATGTCTTATAAATTTTTAAATGACAATGTTGGCTTTACTTTTTGAAGTGTCACTTATTATACAAATAGGTAGTAATTTTGAAGCCTTATATGGAGCCCCACTACTATTTCAAATTAGTAACCTCACTTGTAACTAACATGTTGATGTGCGCTTTTTATCGTGGTGGATTATAAGATGCAAGTTTATCAAGAAAAAACTAACTTCAAGCTTTATTTAAACTATATATCTCACTGTCAAGTTTTAATATGAACACCACACCCCCCCAATTCATATAACCAGAATAAGAATGATTAGATATGAGAGTGAACAACGATATATGACATAGTACAATTTTAATAAAAATTATACTTGAATTTCTTAATATGAAGACTCAAATTTTCACATCATAATTCTTTGTTTTTCAATATTTATTAATCAACAAACAAGATAAGTGAAAACACTGTTAAGCCAATACTAACTGTAGTTACCAAAAATATTGTGATGGTAATGGCTTCAATGTCAAAATTAGAACTGTTAGCGGTTGATTACAAAACCAATAAATTACAAAATTGAAAGATGTGCATCATAAAATAATGCTAGATCATATAAACTCTAAACACGTTAGATTATGACAAAGTATTTATTAATAATAACCAAGTGAAGACAAATAAATCAAGAAAAATATGATGGTTTGCTCACTTCATATGCTTAAAGGCTCATTTTATTCATTGGAATCATTGCATTCTTCCTGACATAAAATATTTGATTTTACTCTCAAGATGACAAACTCAAAGTGTTTCCTATTGATAAATTTTAGTTGGCATTACCGAAGATCAAGAACCCCAACTATGAGGGGAAGTGAATCACAAGATCAATAACCCAATAAGCCTTAATTGTGCAATTTCTAGCATGTTATGTCTTTTAAAAAAAACTGTTAATATTATCAATTAATCTGATGTTTCAAACTTACCTACAATAAGATACTTAGCCAATGTAATCAATACGAGAAGTACTGATACTCTAAGTTATTATCTCACCTAAGTTATTATCTCACCTGGATGGTCCAAACATTAAGTTGGATAAAGTTAATGTAATATATTCTATTACAACTATTAAGTTGAAAATAGGGAGGACTATTCTAAAACACTTTTACACTAAATTATTATATTTTATATTTTGCATGATGTTAAATGTTTGAAGGGCCATTTACTACACAGTGGAAGCAAGATTTAGTAATTTAAACATAATTCAACAGTAACCTTTCATAGCTATATGCTTTATAGGCTTCCTGTGTTACTTCAATGAATTTAGTTATGTTGAATCTTAGGATATAGTTTTTGCCATAGAACATTGACGTGTTTTGAAGGTCACGCTGAAAAATAATGATTATCAACTTGATAAATTAAGAAAAGTTGTTTTAAGATGAATGAAAAACATAATCTTAGTGGTCTCTTACAACTCATTGATATTCTTTTGTACTTGATAGGGGAAAAAAGCTTCATTCCCATACATAAACAAGCGTCTTGCTAAGGAAGAGTACATAGTCCAGTTGAGGTCTTCACTAGACAATCGGAGTTCAACAAACAACTACCCACGCAAGGCAAGCACATCTTATGTCATAACATCTTTGCACGAGTCTTCACTACACGTGATAAGGATGGATGAAGCAAATGATGCCGATCACATTGCACCCAGTGAAAGCACAAGCACTTCAACTCCTCCAGTGAAACGCATCAAGACAGTGTGATGCAAACTGCACAACAATCTCAACCATTCCACGACTCACCAAACTATGTTACTACATTCTAATACTTTCATTTTTGCAATACTATGTTCCATTTTGAATGTTATCGCTCCTACAAGCATAAACATATTTTCCCAAGATACACTACATTTGTTTGCAATGATACAATATTATGTCTATTTCTTCCCATTCTAATAAATTACACACCAATAATGCAATCATGATATTTCACACCATTCTATTCGCAAATTCTATTTCAATGTTATTGCAAAGGGAATTCATGTAGTACACACAATGTTACACAAACATGATGTGTATACCCATTCTCCAGCTTATATCAAGTGCACACCCATTAACATATTGGACATGAACCCCATTGCAAAAACACATTGAGCACAATCTCCATCGCGCAACGCGCGTTGCAACAACTAGTACAATAATAAAAGACAATCTTCGTTATTATGTCTGTGCAATTATGTCTTTATTTACATGCATCATGGGTCATAATCGTTTTATCACGTTATATAATATACTTCCACCGTTCTTTTTTTTAATTGTAATGGACTACTTTTCACGTTTGATAAGACACAAGTTTGACCAATAATATATTTCATTCCTTATTAGTAAAAAAATATTTTGAAAATTTAAAATGAGACGAATTTGACAATACTCTCCAAAATTTTAATTTATAATACATTAATAGATAAATGTAATCGAAGTAGAATACGTGAATAGTGCAAAATCGCCAATTTTGCAACTAAAAGAGAATGAAGGTAGTATTTAATTTGACCCGTCACCAAAAGAAATATAGTATCCTAGTATCTTCATTGATGGAGTTTAATTCCAACCACGAGAACTAATTTACGTAAAAATATATTTGGGCACCGCAAGACATTTTATTAACTGGAAAAGTGAATCCCTTTTAGCGTATGTACATGAAGTATTTATAGACATAGGGCTATAGTAGCCTTACGAGGTGTTTACTTTGGTGCTAAAGTCACAGTTAGGTTAGTAAGACAGGTGAAGTAAACATGCACGCCGCTTAAAAAGCCGCTTACTAACCGAAAGGGGCGCTTAAAGTGCCGCTTACTAAGCATACCACCCCCGTGTATTAATTAAGCGGCACTTTAAGCTTTTTCAGTTTCAGAATTTACCCCTTGCCCTTACCCTATTGTTACCTCTCTGCCAGCTACCCCACCCCTACTGTAATACCCCGACTTCCACTACCTCCATCCTCGTACCTTACCCCTAACACCTACCTTACCTCTACCTTACCCCCTTACCCCCTCCCCTACCTCGGCCCCACCCCGATCCCGACCCTGCCCTACCACCATCCTACCCTGCCCCCTACCCTACCACAACCCTGACCCCGAACCCACCCTACCCCAAGCCCCTATCACCCTACCCCACCCCCCACCTACCCCCTACCATATGCCCATACCTCGGCCCCACCCCAATCCCTACTCTAACCACCATCCTACCCTACCCCTACCCCACCTACCCCAACCTAGCCCTTACCACCCTACCCCACCCCCACTCTAACCCCCTACCATGTGCCCCCTACCTCGGCCCCACCCGCAATCCTACCCCCTACCCCTACTCTACCTTACCCCGACCCCAACCCACTACCCACCCCTTAGCCCTTACCACCCCCCACCCTACCACATGCCCTACCTCGGCCCCACCCCGATCCCGACCACCCTACCCCACCACATATTGTATTATATACTTGTGCTCATGAATGTTTGTGTGTCTATATATGTATAAGGTTATTTTGGATATTTTAATGTTAAACGGTGTTTTAAACCCTTTGAAGTAAACACGTTCTTAAAACATTGCTTACTTTATGCGCCACATAGTAAAGCGGGTCTTAATAAGCACCGTTTAGTAACCCGTGAAGTAAACGTGTCCTAAGAGATATAATTCCTGCTCAATGGCATTGATCCTCGCGTTGTTTCTGCCGTGAGCCTTGCAAGCCCTCACGTAACAACTCCTGGCCATCTTCTGATCGCCTCTTACTGTGCCTATCCCAGTCGGCATGTAAAAGTTCATGCAAAAATGAGCTCGGGATATTATTGCCCCGAGGTTCTCCAACAGTGGTCTACAAAGAATGGCTTTGTGGACACTTGGCAGTCACACCACCACAAAATCAGCCTCAACTGATAGCACACATGGCTCTGGTTCGAGCTGAACCGTGAGGGTTATTACTTCTTGTTGTTCACTAAAATCTCTCGTGAACCCCGATAGGGGTTTTTTGACTAGTTTCAAAGCTTCTTTCTGGAGGCCAATCTCTAAGTAGGTGTCCAGGTAGAGGGTATTCACCGAGCTGCCATTGTCTATCAGGACCCTATGGATAAATGTGTCCATAGTCTCCATCTTTACCTCAAGGGCATCCCTGTGTGGCGGAGGGCAAGGTGGTAGGTCATCGCTGGTAAAGTTAATTTCCCATTTTTGTGTTTTATCTACCGAAAATTGATTGATCTCATGAATGAACAACTGCCGACTCCACTTCTTCCTTTCCTTGGTGGTATCTCCTCCCCCCTGTCCACCATAGATTTGATTTACATTGTGACATTTTTGCCGACCTGACTCTTCCCATTCGTCATCATCCTCGATTTGGGCTCCGACCTATCTCTGTTGGAAGTTGAGGCCTACTGTCTTTGCCCTTGACCCAGACACTCTTCTTTTGAGAGGGTGCCCCTACAGAATCTTCTTCACAAAGTGATCTAGTTGTCCATATCGAATGAGCCTTTTACGTACTTCTTCAGCACGTAACACTCCTCAGTTTTATGAGTGTCACTTTTGTGTAATTTGCAATACTTTCCCCGGGTAGCCTGGCCGGTGATAACGTCACACGTGTTCGACAACATTACCAGACCTGCTTTGCGGCATAATTCAGGATTGTGCTCACTCGGTGTGTCAATGGGAAAAATTTTAATTGACTGGACAGAGGTCCATTAGGTACCCCTGACTTGCCTTTGCCCAAATACTTCTTCTTTCTTTTGAAACCCGCTTCCCTTGTTTGGCTCATGGTCTTCCTTCTCGTTAATTTTCTTTCCATCATTGGTTTGAAGCTTTCCATCCTATTCATCCCTTTTTCTTTTCTCTGTTTCTTCCACCTCTATTTGACGATCGGCCCATTGTAAGGCTTTCTCATGAGAGGTTAGGGGCTGCCGTACAAATTATTTGTGTAATTTACCCAATCTCGAGCCATTGGTGAAAATGGAAACGACTGCCTTGTCATCCATGTCGTCAACCTTTACAGATTCATCTCTCTTATAAGACAAGAAGGCAGTCAAGGTCTCCTGGCCCCTCTACTTGACTCCCATGAGATGAAAGAAGTTTTTCTTGGAGTCCTTTGAACTAGCGAGTCGTGTTATGAAAGCTTGGGCTAAGTCCTGAAAATTTTGTATCCTACCATCCAACAGGGAATAATACCGTTCCCCGGCTGGTCCATCCAGGTTCACTGAGAGTCCTAGACATTTGATCGCGTCTTTATAACCCATCATCACCATGTAGGCCATGTATCTAGAGACATGGTCTTGAGGGGTCAGTCTTCCCTCGATAGGCCTCAATGTTACATGGCTTATACCCACGAGGAAGCCGGGCATCCATAATTCTCCAGATGAACGACTCAGGAATCCTCACGTTATGGAGTGAGGTTGGCTCCACCATCTACCACTTTCCTTAGGTCATCAAGGCGCCTCGTGAGGTCGTCCACATCTCATTCAACCTGATTGCGCGGCTGGGGGGTATGATCTCTACGGGTTAGCCAATGTCCGGGGATCTCATGTTTGGGACCCCCATGCGCACTGCGATGGTGGGAAGAAACGGATGCAGAAGATGCTTTCTCGCTCCTCTCGACCTTGGAAGAGAGCATGTCATGGACATAAACTCTCCTTCCTTCCACGCGATCCATCTCTAAGGTACGGTCCTCGATGTCTGACGGGAATGATGCGACCTTTGGCGGCGCGTCGATGCCGCTTCTGTTTCTTCCCTGTGTGGTATGTAGGGCACACGATTGGGAGAAGGCTGTCTAGCATCAGTATTAGGGATAATCCCTTGGAAATCCGTCACCAAGGTTTCCACGACCCATACCATGCAGACGATTCCTTAAATCGCCTGGTTTCAACACATTGTTATTCCGGCTTCGGAAATTGTTTCGCCATGAATGAGACTCGTCGTCTTGGTTATTCCGACTAAGAGAGCTAATTCATGTAAAATATTTTTGGGCAACGTAAGGCTATTTATTAATCGGAAAAGTATATCCCTTTTAGGGCATGTACATGAAGTATTTATAGATATAGGGCTACAGTAGCCTAATGAGATATGACCGGCACATTCAGGATGTTTTCTTTTGCACTGTTTTCAGTCTCAGACCAGACCTGACTTCCATAGTTATAAAATACACAGAGACCAGACATTTACCATACCAGACCAGCAAATTTCAGTCCAAAAGAAAACATCCTCAATAGGTTCAATCATGATGGAACTCTTCTAACATATCCCATAATTCCGCATCCATTACTTCTTTATGTCCACGTCTCTTCCGTTAAGTCTCTATCGCTGCGAGATAGCTATGCATAACAAATATCATCCCACGTAAGCCACAGAGTGAGTCCGATCTCGCTAGAATCACACCTAAACTCGAGGCCTGCTGATCAGGCCAGCCTGGATGTGGGTTCCTTTCGCGGGTCGTGGTCCTCTGTCAGGCCTAGTTGGCTTTATTAACCTATTAATCCCGATTAATGGGCTTAGTTCATTAATCTTGTATAATGGGCTTCACACGTATGGTCTTTGATTGAGCCATGGTCACAATCCATGGTACCAACATACACTTTTATCATTTCATGAATAGCCAATATATTTTTATCATTTATTTGATGGTAAACACAATTTAATTAATTACATATGAGGCCCCTTCCAATAATCTCTCACTCGTCCTTGGATATAATTCTTGACAAAATATCAACTTTATGAGTCCAAAAAAGCAATCTTATCCATCAGCCATGCTAAAATAGAACCATTGCACCACTTCATCATGTTAAACTGATTATACTACCAATGATCACTAGTATCAATATAACATAATGACATAGATCAATCATGAAATGTGTAGCAGTAAAATTACATGAAATGTAGTGTGTACATGTCAATTTTTAACTGACCCTTCTTTAATAAACTTCCAGCTTTAATAATTTGATTGTTC